GCTTGGATCCAGCCTAGAGATCTCGTCGGTTAAGGAATGAAACATGCAAGACTAGCACCTAAACCCATTAATCCACCTTGAAAGCACCCTAATCTACTTATCTAAAGTCGCTTAAACGACTACTCACTGATCATAACGAGCTCACTAAGTCCTTTGCAAGACGTGTAGCTGGTCATGATTAGGAGTTTAATGCTGATAATAAAAGAAGAATAAAGAAAGAACAAGATTCAGACGTACAAACAAGATATCAGATTAGATTAATCTGGTTTTCACAAAAGAGGCAAGTTCTTAAAGCTAAAAACAGATAAGAGATAAGATAACTCGGTTTTTTTAGTCTCAAAATGTATTTATAGTAAAGGGAAAGTGTCGCGGGTCAGCCCGGAACAAACCGGGTACTGAACCGCCCTCTTGGGTTGATGGGTGAGTGCCACGGTGTGTCGGAAAGTGAAGCCGAGGTCTTCATGCCGAGGTGTGCACGTGAGTCAGGATCCGGATGAAGATCTCGTGAAGAACACGTCAAGAACATGCATGAACCCTAGTCTTTGATCCATCCTCACGTGTGTGTTCTTGAGCTACTCTGTTCTTGATTCTGGGTTCGTGACAAGGGACCTCGGGATAAAATGTCGAGGGGTCATGATGTCGAGGTGCTTGGGAGAACACAGTCCGGCATGCACACCGAGGTCATTACACCGAGGTGTACACTCAACACTTAGTCATTTCCAGCTTCAGTTTTTACGTATGCATGCCTCGATCTAATCATGCCAAGGCTTTGGGACGAGGTCTGGTCCAAAATACTTCCAAGATATGAGCCTCGACTTGAGTGATGCCAAGGTAAAGATACTGAGGTTTGTGAAAACACTTAGCGCGTATCGCAACTCATTTTAGGCTTGTATCGACCATGTCACCTTCCGGAAGCGATAACTTTCAGCACAGGACTCCAATTGCTCTGGGACCAGTTCCACAGTAAAGATGACTCAATAAGCTCGAACTTTGGTGAAGAAACCATCGGAGCTTGGGGAGCGGAAGGCTTCCTGGATTTCACATCTTTGCGCCGCATTGAAATTACCGGAAAATAGACTTTTAGACCGATGTGAACTCCGGAGTCCCTATCTTCCAAACATTTGCTCCGAATTGAGCGATTCCAAATGCTCTGAGAAGATCTTCCATGGATCTCGAACTTTGATGAAGACTGGGTAAGCTGGTTCGGACAGGAAAGGCTCCGTCTGCCATGATCTTTGAAGTTCGCCGTTCAGTTCTCGGGTACGCGCAAGGCTGGTGAACGCTCCGGAAGCCATATCTTTCTCTCCACTGGTCCGAATTGGATTATTCCAACTGTTCTAGAATCTTTGCTTGATTATCTCTAACTTTGGTGAAGACCCCGTCAACTGATTCGGACCGGAAGGTTCCCCGGATTGCTGATTTCTGAACTGCGCGGGCAAGGGCAACTTTTGGTCGTAAAAACCTTCCTGCGGTAAGGAAAATGGCCGAGGGCTGTGTACCGCGGTAAGCTTTTTGGTTGTAAAAATCCTTGCCTCGGTCAAAAACTTGTCTCGTGGTATTTTTGCACTCGATACTCGATTCTGGCCGATCGGTAAGGTTTTTGGCCGGTAATGAGCATCCGGTAAACATTTTGGTCGAGGTTTCCGACCAGCCGGTACGAGATTTGGCCGAGAAATTCCTCCAAGCGGTTTTCACCATTTTTGACCCTTTTCTTCACCGTTTTCTTTCCTGTTCGTCTTCTTAGGCTCCAATTGGTCTCCAAGGCTCCTGATCAGGACTTCAAAACATGCAAAACTCTTTGGGACCCAATGCAAGCCCTAAGTCCTATTTTGACGCCTAAAGACTCAATTTACATGAGAAAACACATGATGAGGACTCTATAATGCAATCTAAATTATGTAAAATATAGACATATCACTGGCATACGACTAGCGCAGGGAATCAAAGTTCGAAAAATAAGAGCCTTTTGCGATTCACAGCTCGTAGCATGTCAATTTAACGGGGAGTATGAGGCGAAGGATGAAAGAATGGGAGCTTACCTTAGAGTAGTCCAAGATTTGGTACGAAAGTTTAACGAGTTCGAACTCACATGAATACCCCGAGGCAAAAACACCTCGGCGGACGCCTTAGCAGCACTTGCTTCAACCTCAGACCCGGATCTCCGTCGAACAATTCCAGTCGAATTCATTGAACATCCAAGCATAGAGGAGGTGGAAGGAGTTTGGCTGATCAATCCTCCCGAATAAAAACCAGAGAACGGCGAAGCAATAGCTATGGAAGAAGACGCCTCGCTAACCGAGCTGGAGTACGGCTGCGACAAGGAGTGGCTCGGAGCTATCCGAGTCTACATCGCCGATGGAGAAGTACCATCCAACAAGGAAGCCCGCAAATTAAGGGCTCAAGCCGCACGATACGTCCTCGTCGTCGGCGAAATGTTCAAATGGAGATTTTCAGGACCACTAATCACTTGCGATCAAGATAAAACGGCACGGTTACTTCTAGCCTACGATGGTCAAGGATTACGAGAAGTTTACTGCAAAGTGCGAGAAGTGTCAACGGCACGCACCTACAATCCATCCACCTACCGAGTTGCTGTCGTCAATTTTGTCACCTTATCCCTTCATGAGATGGTTGATGGATATAGTCGGGCCTTTACATCGATCGAAGCAGAAGCGTTTTCTTCTATTCCTTACAGATTATTTTTCTAAATAAGTCGAGGCCGATTCCTACACAAGCATAAAGGACACTCAAGTCGAACACTTCGTCAGGAAAAACATCATCTGCCGACACGGGATCCCCTATGAGATAGTGACCAACAACGGATCCCAGTTCATCTTAACTCGCTTCGAAGCTTTCTGCGAGATATGGAAAATTCGTCTGAGCAAGTCTACGCCGAGATATCCCCAGGGGAATGGACAAGCGAAAGCAGCCAACAAGACGATCCTAGACGGCCTAAAAAATAGGCTCGACGCCAAGAAAGGAAGATGGGCAGACGAACTCGAAGGAGTCCTTTGGTCGCATCGGACGACTCCGCGCCGAGCCACTGAAGAAACTCGCTCTCGTCTATGGAATGGAGTGCGTAATTCCCCCCCGAGGTGGATTTCCCAGGGATTCGACGAAGTCTTCTGCCAGGACAGGAGGGCTTGAATCACTTAATGATGCTGGATGAACTCGAATTAGTCAACAAAAGGCGTGACCAGGCTCTAATCCGAGTCCAGAAGTACCAACAAGCAACAACGAGATACTACAACAAAAATGTCCGAAGCCGAAGATTTAAAAAAGGAGAGCTCGTTCTTCGAGAGGAATGCAGGAAAGCTTGGAGCAAGTTGGGAAGGCCCTTACAAGATTACAAAAGTAGTTCGCCCAAGAGTCTATGAACTTGCGACGGTAGCTGGCGAAGCAATTCCAAGATCGTGGAACGCAATGCACCTAAAGAAGTATTATCACTAAGGCTACAACACGGTCAACATGAACTATGTGAGCCAAAACTCGCACAACCAAAGATTTGTAAAGAAACTTAGGGATCGGAAACTTCTAGGGTTTATCGCCAAAGACAGTAAGATCAAAAGAGAGCCTTTCTTGCTGTGAAAGTGTTTCGTTCTTATTGCTTAGGGTTGCCAAAGTTGGCAGAATGAATTACATACACCACATATTTATACTGATTTTCTAAATCGCCTAGCCGAGAATCTCGGGCGAGATTTTCGGAATATTTCCTTATCGCCTCGTGCGGCTGACCGACTTTGCATCTCGCCTAGGGTTTTTCGTGGGCTTCGCCTCTTCAAGGCTTCGGCTCGGCCCGTCATGCTTTCTTTACGGCTCGGCCCACTTGACATAATTCGCTCCACCTCTCCGCGGCACGGCTCGGCCCAGGTATTTAAGACAGGGGCTCGGCCTATGTTATGTTATACGGCTCGGCCCATCTCCTTCTTCTCGGCTCTCCCACCTGGCGATCGCGGCTCTCCCGCCTTTCTTGGTAAAACGGCTCTCCTTCTTGCCTTGGTGAGAACGGCTCTCCCGTTTTGATGATCACGGCTCTCCCATTTTCTATACTTAGTTATTTTGGGATGGTTTACCTGTGTGGGGTGGAAATCGACCCCAACAGTTAGCCCCCCAGCTCGTCAATCTCGGAGTCGAGAATGACGAGGTACATTACTCCTGACCACGAGATAAACCATCGGGCCAAGCTGCTACGACACGAGCCCAGATTCATGTTTTGGGAGTGTGAGTGCCGAGGTGTTTCCAAGGAGTGCCGAAGATGCCGAGGAGAATCAGGGACGAAGCGATTTGGTGACGGTTATGCCGAGCCGACTATATAGCTAGGCGTCGTGTGAAAGTTCATGCCGAGCCGTGTTGTTAACGACGAGGCGTTTCAAGAACACTGATTTGTGCCGAGCCGTTTAACGATGAGGCGTTTCAAGAAGAATAGTTAATGCCGAGCCGTTTCGTTTAACGACGAGGCGTTTCAAGAAGAATAGTTAATGCCGAGCCGTTTCGTTTAACGACGAGGCATTTCGAGAGAGACAGATAATGCCGAGCCGTTTTGCTTAACGACGAGGCGTTTTGAGATAGTTAATGCCGAGCCTTTTCGTTAGACGATGAGGCGATACAAGCGAGAGAGAGTCTATACCAAGTTGTTTCGTTATCCTGGGTATCCTGACTGTTGATCTTCCGAGAGGAAGTTCCGGATCTTTCGGCGCGTGTCAACGACGCAACCCGGTATGACCAATTCGCCGCAGACCCTACGCGCTGTTGGATGGCTTCCCGAGGTTCACGCGGAATTCACGCGCCTCGTTTTTCTATAAATAGGTGAGCTCCTTCACTTCTCCTCATTATTTCCCGACTCACTCGTTTTTACTAAAGGTAGCTCTCCCTTCTCTCTTCTTTCTCTCTCTAGTTTATTTATTTTCCGGCTAGGGTTTCCGAGGTCTCCGCCGCTCCAGATCTTTATCCGGTAGAGGCTCGCCGAGTCAAGTTGTAATTCATTGTAAAAGTTGTAAAGTATGTCGAACCGTTCCGACGACTCGTTAGATCCGCTTTTCCACTACGAGCCGAGCTGTATAGACGCCGAGGCGAGGGGTGCGATGGATTCTTCCGAGGCGTCTGCTTCGCCGAGCCGTTCTCACCGTTCATCTGACGAGGCGTCAAATGATGAAAACCCATCAGATGTCGGCTCTCCGGATGGCGAGCCGTCGGTTTCGACGAGCCGTCCCCAGGATCCCGTTCCTAAAGAGGGCATTAACCGAGCCGCGCTCAAGGCCGAGGAGGAGGCATTTCCCTTTGATCTTTTCGAGGCGAAGCTTGAGTTGGAACGCCTCCTGGCGTCCCGAGGTGCTTCCACATCTGGGCGAGCTCCGAGAGTTAAGAGGCAAAAACCCGACCCGCCTGGGCCTACACTCTGCTCCCTTGAGTAGCTCGAAGTGTTGAGGCATCGCTTCGGAATATCCGAGGTGGTGGAGTTCGTTGTCCCAGAGAAAAGCAACCGCGCCGACAACCCTCCAGAGAATCATTTCACTCTGTACGAGGCGTTCTTCGAGCTTTGCTTCCTCTGGTTCCCAATCCCCGAAGTGATCCTCGAATACCTTTGGAAACACGGGATCTCGATCGGGCAGATTATGCCGAGGGGACTGCGGCATATGATCGGCATTTTAGTCCGAAGCTTCGAATGCGGTCTTGACTTTGAGCTGAACCACCTGCTGAACTTGCTGGAAATCAGGAAGGCTCCGAAAGGAAACAGGTTCTATATTTCCAACAAGGCGAAACGACGGATTATCGGCGGTTTTCCCAGCAAGGACCAGCTCTGGACTGAAAGCTTCTTCTATGTTTTAGTGAACGAGGCGTCGGTCGGCGAGGATTACGTTTGCCGAACCAAGACCGCTTGGGGACCACTTGGTAGCCGACCCGAAGCTTTGCCTCGGCTCGGAGATTCGGTTCAAACTTTCTTCCTTTTCTGACACTTATCTTTTTTTTGCTTTGTTTTGCAGTTCGTTGCTATCTTCCCCCGATTCCCGACGATCTGTTCACCGTTCGAGATTCTCTTTCGGCGCGGAAAGTTAACTGGAGAAAGAATTTCACCCTCGAGAGGGTAGAGAAGGCGCGAGCCATTCTTGCAGGAGTTCCCGTCAGCTCTTCATCCTCCAGTTCCTCCAGAGATACCCGCGAAAAGATGGTGATCTTAACCCTCCGAGAAAGGAAGAGACGCAAACAGGAAGTAGCCGCTAGACAAACTGCCGAGGCAGCTCGGGCGCAGGCCGAGGTGGTTCCGGCGCAAGCCGAGGTGATTTCGGCGCAAGCCGAGGCCACCCCTCAAACCGACCCGCCGAACCGTGATGAGACGACCCGAGCTGCGGAGGGTAATACGACCGAGGTGGTCGAAAGAGATGTGGCGCCCGAGGTGGAATAGGGCGAAATTGTTCCCGAGGCGTCAGGGGGCGATTCGGCGGTTCAGAACAAAGAGCCTTCGAACTCCACTATTCTAGCCCTCCCGAAGTCGACGAGGCCCCCGACTTCCGTCGTGCAGAAACACGACCCGAGCCGAAACGTTCGGCTGCTGATAAAGGGAAGGGGGTCGCAGTTGAGAGGGACGAGGCGTCCAAGAAGAGACGGAAGCCGACGCCCGGAGAATCCGCCGCGCGCAAGTTGGTCGTCGATGACCCCGACGCCTCCGCCATAATGTTCTCGCGTGTAAATAACGCGAACACGCGTCTTCCTCCTCCGGAGAAGTTGAGGAGGCCGAGGTCATACGGCGCAATGGCGCAGCGCGGGACCAAGGTACATTCCATTTTGCTTTCCTTTGCTTTCGTGAATTTTCGCTAAGTATTTGACACGAGTTTATTTTCTGCAGTTTGTCGCGGCCATTAACGACCTAATGGCCGAGTACGAGGCGGACCTGTCTAAGGTCGAACGTCGCTTGGCCGAGGCCAAAATTGAGTCCGCATCGTCGAAAACGAAGCTGGAAGAGGCTCAGACCGAAGCCGCGGCGGTAAAGGGGAAACTGGACGAGGCGACGGCCAGGGCGTCCAGGCTGGAAGAGGAGAAGATCGTTCTGCGTGCAAACGTAGATAAAGTCTCCGCCTCGGTCATTCGCCTTGAGGAGGCGCGGAGAGCCAAAAGTGCCGAGGTGGCGATGCTGAAGAGGCGTATCGAGGCCAAGGATGCCTTGTTTGATGCTAAGGTCAAGAGGGCGAAAAAGGAGGCGAGGCGAGAGCTTACAGCGAAGTTTCAAGAACGCCTCGCCAAGGTGGAGGAGGGTCTGGTTCGGCTTGAAAAAGCCAAAAATGACGAGAATGATCTGAGACAGATCAAGGGCAATCTGGCGATGATTGCCGACCTGAAGAAACCAGATGCCCCGACGCTCGACGACGAGGAAGCAAAGCTGAAAAGCTGGGAGAGTGAGTATGCCGACGAAGAGGCGTACGAGCGCATTGCTTCCGAGATTCGGGGCGAGCTGTACTATTCCCCCATATCGCCGGACTCGGTCGACACCACCCTCGGGAACGAGCCGCTCGTAGAGACAGCGGCTAACTTAGGTGTGGTGGACCCGAACGGATCGAACGCGGGCACGCCAGTCCTCTCGAACCTCTTCGCCGAACGTGAGACGCAGTCCGCGGCCTGATTCTCTCTTCTCTCCCCTGTCTCGTCTTTAATCCTTTTGTACTTAGGTTTTTTTTGTTTTTGAACTCTCTTTGTAACTGATGCCTGGACGGCTTTATCCATCTAACATTTTACTTTCGTTTTATGAATAAGTTCTCTTTCCCTTAGCTGTTTTAGGATTTGATGTACTTATTTTCAACCCTTGGAATAGAGAAAATTGTTGAGGATAAAACTGTTGTAATGATTTTAAGTGCTTCCTTAGCTGAATCCTTTGAAAATGATAGAAGTACTGGCTAAGGGTTGAGTTCGTTTAAGGACATCGTTTGGATTCTTAATCCCGAGGTGGGAGTTAGTTTTGTGGAACATCTTTTAGGTAATGCTGGAAAACTTTTAAAGTGATAATGTCGAGGCGACTTTTTGCCTGGTAATGCCGAGCCATTTTTAATGACGAGGCGTTTTTGCTGCGTATTTTGCCAAACCGTGTAAACGACGAGGCGTTTTTTCGCTTGGCGTGACGCCGAGCTGTATAGACGACGAGGCGTTCTGCTTTTGTTAGCCGAGGTTGAAGTGTTATCGAACCTGTCTAAGGACCGGTGTTCTCGAGTATGTTTATCCGGGTTTAAGAGTTTACTTCGGTTTTTAGAGAAAGCGATGTAGTCTCGACTTATATTCTCGTGTGCGATAGTAAACCGTGGCGACCAGATACGTTTTTGGTCTGATATTTGTATAGCGCGCTTAATTTTTATCCGTAGAGGATGTAACTTGCACCCTCGTCCTAGGAAAGGTGGTAAAAGTCCGTTTAGAGAACTTTGTACTTGTTGCCCCGTTGTGGCCAGCAACGAGGCTAGGCGTTCAGAGGCTTAGTTTGCCGAACTGAAATTGAGGACCGATTAGGGTCCGAGGTAATCGGGTCATGATATCATGCCGAAGTGGTACGATTACTTGCCGAAGTGATGAGTGATAAAATTTAAAAATCCGAGCTTGTTACAATGTGAAGCTAGCCGAAGCGATAATAGTTTAACTAGAAATCAAGTGAAATAAGTAGATGATTAAAAATGAAATGAGAAATATGCCGAAGTGGCGACGTTCCAAAATGGGTAAGTCAAAATAATAGAGTTTAGAGGAGGTATGTGTATACGTACCCACTCCCCCCCCTTTTTAGGGGGGGGACAGCTGAACCCGTCCGAAGATGGGCTGCCTACGTACCCTTTGCAGGGATCAAGCCGTCCCGTAGTTCATGATGGTCGTGCTGTATCCTTAGTGATAGTATTTATTCAGATGCATTGCGTTCCATGATCTTGGAATCGCCTCGTCGGCTAGTGTCGCGAGTTCGTAGACTCCCGGACGAACCACTTTGGTGATCTTGTAAGGACCTTCCCAATTTGCTCCGAGCTTTCCTGCGTTCTTCTCGGCAGTATTTTGGAAGACCTTTCGGAGGACGAGCTCTCCCTCTTTGAATCTTCGGCTACGAACGTTTTTGTTGTAGTACCGCGCCGTTGCTTGTTGGTAGTTCTGAATTCGAACTAGGGCTTGGTCGCGCTTTTCGTTGATTAGGTCGAGCTCATCTAGCATCATGAAGTGGTTTAAGCCTTCTTGTCCTGGTAGAAGTCTTCGTCGAATACCTGGGAAGTCCACCTCGGGGGGAATTACGCACTCCGATCCGTAGACTAGAGCGAATGGAGTTTCCCCAGTGGCTCGGCGCGGAGTTGTCCGATGAGACCAAAGGACTCCTTCGAGTTCGTCTGCCCACCGTCCTTTCTTCTCGTCGAGCCTCTTTTTCAGACCATCGAGGATCGTCTTGTTGGCTGCTTCGGCTTGTCCATTCCCTTGAGGGTATCTTGGCGTGGATTTGCTGAGGCGGATTTTCCACTTCTCGCAGAAAGCTTCGAAGCGTGTTGAAATAAACTGGGATCCGTTGTCGGTGACGATCTCGTAAGGGACCCCGTGTCGGCAGATTATATTTTTCCAGACGAAGTGTTCGACCTGAACATCTTTTATACTTGCGTAAGAATCGGCCTCGACCCACTTGGAAAAGTAATCCGTGAGGACGAGCAGAAAACGCTTCTGTTTCGAGCGATGTAGAGGTCCGACGATGTCCATCGACCATCTCATGAACGGATAGGGCGACGAAATTGACAAGAGCAGCTCGGTAGGTTGGTGAATTGTTGGAGCGTGCCGCTGACATTTCTCGCATTTCGCCGTGAATTTCTCGCAGTCTTTGACCATTGTAGGCCAGAAGTAGCCGTGCCGTTTTATCTTGATAGCGAGCGACCTTCCGCTGGAGTGGTTACCGCACGCGCCGCTATGCACCTCGTGCATGATCTTTCGTGCTTCCGGTCCTTCGACGCATGTCATGAGAGGCCCCGAAAATCTCCATTTAAACACCTCGCCATCGACGAGGACATAACGTGCTGCCTGAGCTTTGAGCTTGCGGGCTTCCCATTTGTCAGTTGGCACCTCTCCGTCGGCGATGTACGTTCGGATGGCCCCGAGCCATTCTTTGTCGCAGCCGTATTCCGGCTCGGCCGACGAGGCGTCTTCCTCCATCGGAATGGCTTCGTCGTCTTCTGGTTCTTGTTCAGGGGGATTTATCAGCCGAACTCCTTCTACTTCTTCGATGCTAGGGCGTTCGATGAATTCGACTGGGATCGTTCGTCGGAGGTCCGGGTCCGAGGTCGAAGCGAGTGCTGCTAAGGCGTCGGCCGAGGTGTTTTCTCCTCGGGGAATGCGAGTTAGTTCGAACTCATCAAACTTTTGCACCAACTCCCGGACCACTTTGAGGTAAGCGCCCATACGTCCATCCTTCGCCTCGTATTCTCCGTTGAACTGACATGCTACGAGCTGCGAGTCGCAGAAGGTTCTTATTTTTCGAACTCTGATTCCTTGTGCTAGCCGTATGCCGGCGATCAGTGCTTCGTATTCCGCTTTGTTGTTCGAGGCGTGGAAGTTCAGGCGAAAAGACTGCTCAAGTATTTCTCCGGTGGGAGAGGTAAGGCGGATTCCTATTCCCGAGCCATGTTTAGATGACGAGCCGTCGACATGCAATGTCCATACTTCGTCTAGGGTTGGCTCGTTTGTTGCTTCGGCCGGGAGTTCGATGAGGAAATCAGCGAGCACTTGTGATTTTGCAGACGACCTATTCCGATACTCGATGTCGTATTCGCTCAGCTCTATGGCCCACTTGGCGAGCCGACCGGATTGGCTTGGGCTGTGCAGGATCGAGCGCAGCGGAAGGGTGGCGAGCACAACAATCGAATGCGACTGAAAGTATGGGCGCAGCTTGCGAGCCGAGACTACGACGGCTAGGGCGACCTTCTCGATTTGTGGGTAGCGGGTCTCAGCGTCGGTCAGTGTTTGGCTGATGTAGAAAATGGGTTTTTGCTCGGATCGTTCTTCTCTGATTAATACCCCACTTACAGCTGTAGCAGACACCGCGATGTAGAGGAAGAGCGGCTCTCCTTCGACCGGTTTTGCTAAAATTGGCGGGCTCGCCAGATAAGTCTTCAGTTCTTGGAAAGCCGTCTCACATCGTTCGTCCCATTCAAATTTCTTGTTTCCTCTGAGGGTGTCATAGAAAGGCAGGCATTTGTCCGTGGAACGGGAGATAAATCGATTTAGCGCAGCGACTCTTCCTGTTAACCTTTGTACTTCGCGCTTCGTCCTTGGAGAGGGCATTTCAACTAACGCCTTAATCTGTTTGGGGTTTGCTTCTATGCCTCGGTGGGTTACCAGATAGCCGAGGAATTCTCCCGAGGTGACTGCGAACCTGCACTTCGCCGGATTTAGCTTCATGTTGTGTTTGTTCAACTGTTCGAAACATTCTTGTAGGTGCGCGACGTGGTCTTCCTCTTCGAGTGACTTAACTAACATGTCGTCGATGTATACCTCCATAGTTTTCCCGAGCTGAGCTGCAAACATTTTGTTGACGAGCCGTTGATACGTTGCTCCTGCGTTTTTGAGCCCGAACAGCATGACGTTGTAGCAATATATCCCGCGATCGGTTATGAATGCCGTTTTTTCCCGATCATCAGGATGCATCAGGATCTGATTATAGCCAGAGAACGCGTCCATAAACGTTAATAGTTTGTTCCCCGCAGTGGCCTCGACGAGCCGGTCGATATGTGGCAGGGGAAAGCTGTCTTTTGGGCACGCCTTGTTGAGGTCGATGAAATCCACACAGACTCGCCACTTGCCGTTCTTCTTCTTCACAACCACCGGGTTTGCGAGCCAGTCCGGATATTTGGCCTCGGCGATTGATCCTACCTTGAGTAATCTCTCAACTTCGGCGTTGACTGCTTTAGCTCGTTCTGGACCAAGCTTTCTTCTTTTCTGCTTGACTGGTTTGAAGGTTGGATCCACATTAAGCTCGTGACAGGTTACGTCGACGCTGATGCCTGGCATGTCTTCCGCCGTCCAGGCAAAGGTATCGATGTTTTCCTTGAGGAGGGAAAGGAGCTTGCTTCTCAGGGGTTCGCCTAGTTGTGTTCCAATTTCGACGCACCACTCCGGATGCGCCTCGTCTATGCAAAACGAGTCCACTGCGTCACATATTGGCTCGGTGCGTGTTTCGCGGCTCTCCGCGATCTGTAATTGCTATAAGAGTTTGGAGAGCTCGTTCGCGGGCTCTCTGTCTGTCTTCATCTTTTTGCGGTCTATGTCAGCTCGTGCGTCGGTGACGGGGTTCCTTAGCTTGTGCTCGGTTAGGAAGCAATTTCTTGATTCCTTCTGATTTCCCCATATCGTTTTGACACCTGATGGAGTTGGGAATTTGAGACAAAGATGATAGGTGGAAGGTACTGCCCTCATCCCGTTGATCCAAGGGGTTCCCATGATGACGTTATAGATGGCTGGGAGGTCAGTGACGCAAAACTCGACGATCTTGGTGACTCCGCCAGCTACCACAGGAAGCCTGATCGTTCCCATAGTCATCGTCGTTTCTCCCGAAAATCCGGTTAGAGGTTTGGGGATTGCCTCCACCTCGGAGAGGTCGATTCCCATTATTCTGAGCGTTTCCCTGAAGACGACATTCACCGAGCTTCCAGTATCGATGAGCACCCTTGCTACGTCATGATCCCTGATCGTTAGCTCAACTACTAACGGATCATTGTGAGGTCGATCGATTCCTGCTGTTTCCTCCTCAGCAAAAGAGATCACCGTGTTTGGGATGTCAGTCGGCTCTGTCCAATTCTCCTTTGCTTCGGCTCGGCGCTGATAGGCTTTGATTGAGGAAACGGTATCTTGATAGTACTGGGATCCACCCATGATCATATTTATCCTTTGCCTCGGCTCGGGTCGCTCTTCAGGTTCGTCTCGCCTGTCCCGCTTGGGGTTGTCGCCTCGTCTGGGAGGATTCGCTGGTTCCGCCGCACCGTTCGGCTCGGCTTTTTCCTGTTGTTCGTTAGGGACGAGGTCCTTGAGGCTGACCGCGTTTTGGAGCTCTCCTGCTGCCATTTTGGCTGCGAGCTTTGTTCCAGGGTCCAGCATTGAGCTGTTGAGTGTCCGTAGGTCTGGTGATACTCGCAGAAAGCCTTCTCGTCGTAGTTGGCTGACTTTCTTACCCAAGTATTGTTGCGAGGCTCTCCTCTTCCGCGTCCGGAGCTGACCTGGTAGTTATGGGCACCTCCGCTCCTGGGCTCTTCCGAACTCTGCGTTGCCGCGTTGCTTGATGGATTGCCCTTCTTTGCTGGGCGTGGCAAAATTGAGCTTCGGATCGCTGCTTTCGTGGCTTCGTACTGCTCGTCCAAGTTTTTCATTTCCTCCTCGTTTACGACGAAGTCTGATGATCGGTGCAACGCGTCTTGAATTGTTTGCGGCGTATTGAGAGCCATCTCGCGGCGGAATTCGGATTTGTACCACAAGGATCGTTTCAGAGCCTCGAGTGCAGCCTTGTCGCTTATCCCTTCTATTTTGGATACGACCGCCTTGAATCGCGTCATGTAATCCCGAAGCGGTTCGTTCGGTCCTTGAGATAGTGTCCATAGATCGGCATCAGATGTTCCTCTGTCCATAAACATCGAGTATTGTTTAAGGAACAAGGCGGAGAGCTGCTGAAAACTGCCGATTGAATTTCGTTCCTGCCTTGAGAACCATTCGAGTGCGGCTCCCTTGAGATGCTCCACGAAGAGCAGACAGTATCCGGCATCCACTTCGCGCTCGGTGAGTTTAGCGGCGTTCTTTGTGAAGGCTCGCCCCATCGCTATTCGAAACGCTGTGATGTGTGCTTTTGGGTCGGTTGTTCCTTCGTAGAACGGAATTCTCACCTTCCCTGGCTCGGGAATCCTGGCTTCCGTGATCCTTGCAGTGAACGGGGTTCTTTGGGTTTCTTCGAGCATTCGGTCGATTTCGGGTGCGGCACTTGTCGCGTTGTGCACTTGGGATTTCATAGCGCGTATTTCAGCTACCGTTCGAGCCATAGAGGCTCGCAGCTCTTTAAGCTCGAGGGTTTGTGCGCAAGTCATTCCCTTTGATTGGGGGAGTCGCTCCCGCTCCTCTCGCCTCGGCTCGTCTTCGCGCTCTTCCTGCTCGTTCCATTGGGGATTTTCGTCCGCTTCGGTTGGGTTATTGATATGTTCATAATTTGCATCATTTAGGTTGCATAAATCATTCCAAATTATGTTTTATTTCATGCATTTTACGTCCTTAGGGTTTGTTTTAGAACTTAGGAGATGCATTAGGAGATGTTTTAGAAATTAGTCGTTTTTAAGGAAGTATAAATACTTTTTAGGTTTTTTTTGGGAGGAACTAAGTTTTATTCCTTTTGTCTCTTGCCTCTTTGGTGAAAAGACTCCATTAAGAAGAGAAATATCTTTATTTGAGTGTTTAATCAAGAGAGTTTAAAGAGATCTGGGTGTTTAAAGCTGTTTTCTTTGGAATCTATCATCTCCATCTCCATTTCTCATCATTAATCATGCTAATCTACTCAACTTGCAAAGGTTTAAGAGAGATTAGTATGATTAGTGAGTAGTCACCCTAATGAGGTTCTAGATGTGTAGGTTAGGGTGCTAAAGTGTTAGATTAGGAGTGCTTAGGGCTAGATTCATTGATTCATCTCTCTAAACAGCTGTTCTCTATGCTAGATCCTTGATAATCACTTGAGATTTAGATTCTGGGAATTTCATGCACCAAAAGTGTTTGATGAAATTCCTGAAAGAGTTGTGTTAGAGGTTTAAGTAATTTTTCATCATGGGAATGATTTGTTAAATACTTGAATGATCATTAAGAGCTGTTTGTTAATGCATATTGATTCATGTTTCACAAATGGGAATTTGGTTTGAAAATGGATTAGTATAGGGGTTAATGCCTTCATGAGAGGATTAACCTAGATTAGAGTTCTTAATCATTTGAATCATGTCTCATCATTGTCATTAGCATTTCTAGTTTAACACCAAAGCACCCTAACCAACTATCATGTCTAGAATCTCATGCCTCCATCATATCATATTCATATCATTTGTCATTGTCATTAGTCTTTAATCCTGTTTATGTTTATAGTTGTCTCTAGATTAATCAAAACCCACTCTTGTTTGCTTGAATTAAGAACTTGATCATATAGTTTAGTGTCTAACACCACATCTGGATTGATAAACCTCTTTGTGCTACATTGACAAGGGGATTGATAGCCCTGAGACCCTAAAGTGCCATGTCTATCAATTGGCGCCGTTGCCAAATTGTGGTTTGATTAGCATTAAGCTCTGATCTGTTCTTGAGATCAAGTGCTTACTTTCTTGTTTTTACTGATTCCTTTCAAGTTCTGTTTGTGATTTCAGGTGTATGAACACCAGGTCTAGATCAAGAAGCTGTGGTCCTCCTTTTCCTCTAAACGACAACATCAACCTTTTGGTACCAAGGAGGAGAAGAGACAGACGTGGTAGACACATTGATCAGACTGAGATGGCAGAACAAGGAGATCACGTGGTAGATATGGAACAACCAGTTCAGGAGCAACAGGCTCAAGGTCAAGGAGCTGGTATTGGAGTTGGTCAGGGGTTTCACCAGGGCAATGTTCAGCAGGAACAGGTGCACCACCAACAAGCCTATGTCCACCAGGGACAAGCTCAGGCTCATCAACAGAGGCATCAGGCCAATGTTCAACAAAGACACCAGGTGCACCACCAACCCCACCCTTTCCAACCACAACAAAGAAGATATGAGCAACCCCAAATCTATGTTGGCGAAAATGACAGGGCCAATGCTCATCAGTATGGAGCTGGTATTCAGGCACCACCTGTGCAGAACAACAACTTTGAAGTGAAAGCATCATTGCTGAATATGGTCCAGAACTCAAAGTTCCATGGGTTAGCAATGGAAGATCCCTTGGAACACTTGGACCAGTTTGATAAGGTGTGTGATCTGACCAAGATAAATGGAGTTTCAGAAGACAGCTTTAAGCTAAGACTATTCCCATTCAGTCTTGGTGATAAAGCTCATCAATGGGAGAAGAATCTTCCAAGAGGCTCCATTCAAACCTGGGAGCAATGCAAGCAAGCCTTCTTATCTAAGTTCTTCTCTACCTCAAGAACTGCAAAACTAAGGAACCAAATCTCTAGCTTCACTCAGCAAAGCAATGAAAGTTTTGGTGAAGCATATGAGAGAATCAGGAGCTACACAAACCAATGCCCACACCATGGGTTTAGTGAGGCTTCTCTTCTCAGCACACTGTATAGGGGAGCTCTTCCCAAGATTAGAAACCAGCTGGATACTGCTTCCAATGGGAACTTTCTGGGTAAAGAGATTCATGCTGCTTTAGAGCTAGTGGAGAACTTAGCATTGAGCAATGATACTTATGGTGAAGACTATGACAGATCAAATAGGTCTGAAGGTTCAAGCTCAGAACAGAGGCTCACCAGAGAAGTTAAGGAGTTGAGGAGTGAATTGGACAAGCTGAAATTCACCACTCAGAAGCCAATGCATTTTGTTGGAGAGTATGAGGAACCTTCTCAAATTTTTGAGAACATAAGTGAAGAAGGTCTTACCCTACATTGGGAATCAGAGGTTCCAAAGATATCAGTATGGTAATGCCAATCCAAACCTCTCTTACAGGAACACCAATGTAGCTAACCCACAAGACCAGGTCTATCCCAATTCTCAAGCTCCAAAGAACTTTGTTCCCAAGCACAACTTTCAAGGGTCATTCCAACCCAAGAATCAATTTGGTCAGAATCAGAGTTTTGGTCAGCAACAGCAACCATTTCAGGGCACTGGTTACACTTCACAGCAGCCAAAGGCACCACCAGGGTTTGGTCCACCACAGTTCCAACAGCAGGCGCCGGTTCAACAACAGTTTCAGCCACCAATGGTTCAACAGCAGCCACAGATGGGTACAGATATGGTTGGTATTCTGCAACAACTACTTCAGGGTCAACAGACTATGCAGCAGGAAATCAAGGAACTGAAGCAAAACCAGGCATCAAGCTCAAGGAACCAAGGTCACCTACCTGGAAAACCAGAACCCAACCCCAAGGAATATGCCAAGGCCATTACACTGAGGAGTGGCAAGGAGTTACCTGGTATTGAGAACAACAATGTGATCATTGAGGACAATGATCAACCTGAGGGGGAGGCAGCCTTAAAGGATGATCAAGTTGCTGAGAAACCAAGGTCAGAAAAGGGTAAAGAGGTAGCAAAGGAACCAGAACCAGAGAAGAAGTATGTGCTACCACCTCCATACCAACCCAAGCTCCCATTTCCAGGGACATTTAAGAAGCAACTAGTGGACAAGGCAAGAGCTGTATTTGAGAAGGCACTCAAAGAGACACCACTCACAATGCCTCTCATTGATGCATTCTTAATGATGCCAAAGATGGGGAAGTTTTTGAAGGATGCTATTCTGAACAAGACAAAAGAGCTTCAAGGCATGGTAGTACTAAGTCATGAATGCAGTGCTATCATTCAGAGGAAGTCCATTCCAAGGAAGTTAACTGATCCAGGGAGCTTCACACTCCCTTATGCCATTGGACCTCTTCTATTCTCTGGATGTCTTTGTGATTTAGGAGCATCAGTCAGCTTGATGCCATTCTCCATAGCACAGAAGCTGGGCTTTAGAGTTTTCAAACCTTCAAAGATTTCTCTTATCCTTGCAGATAGATCAGTTAGATTGCCTGTTGGTATGTTGGAAGATCTACCTGTCAAGATAGGTGGTTTTGAGGTTCCAACAGATTTTGTTGTGCTGGAGATGGATGAAGAGCCAGTAGATCCTCTTATCTTGGGCAGACCATTCTTAGCCACTGCAGGAGCTATTATTGATGTGAGAGGTGGGATAATAGAGCTTCAACTTGGGTCTGAAAAGCTCAAGTTTGATGTGAATGAGATGATGAAGAAGCCCACCATTGAAGGTCAATGTTTCTATGTAGAGACAATGGATCAGTTGGCTGATGAGTTGCTTGAGGAGCTGAACACTGAGGATCCTCTTCAAGCTACTCTAACTCAAGAACAAGGAGACAATGGGATCTTGGCTGAAGCAAGTGAAGGGTATAAGCTGTATCTGGACAATGCAAGAGAGCTGGGTCCTGAGACAAGGTTTGTGGAGCTGGAACAGAATGGCACTGAGGTTTTGGCAATCCAAGAATCAGTCACCAGCCAAAGCAGCTTGGACCAGGACTGGAATGAGGCTGATGCACCCTCTGTTGAGCTCAAACCTCTACCAACAGGGCTCAGGTATGCTTTCTTAGGACTAAACTCCACATATCCTGTCATCATCAATGATAGCCTATTAGAGGACCAAGAGAGTGCATTGCTGAATGAAATAAGAAAGTTCAGGAGAGCCATAGGGTATTCTTTGGCTGATATTAGAGGGATCTCTCCTGACATCTGCACCCATAGGATCCACCTAGAGGACCAATCTATGTCCTCTATTGAGCACCAACGTAGACTTAACCCCAACCTTAGGGAAGTGGTTAAGAAGGAGATACTAAAGCTTCTTGAGGCAGGGATAATTTACCCAATCTCTGACTCAAGATGGGTGTCTCCTGTTCATGTTGTGCCCAAGAAAGGTGGGATCACAGTGGTGAAAAACGATAAGGATGAACTCATAGCTCAAAGAACAATAACTGGCCATCGCATGTGCATTGACTATAGGAAATTGAATTCTGCTTCTAGAAAAGATCATTTTCCTTTACCATTCATTGATCAAATGCTTGAAAGGTTAGCTAATCATCCTTATTTTTGTTTTCTCGATGGGTACTCTGGATTTTTCCAAATTCCCATAGATCCAAGAGATCAAGAGAAAACAACATTCACATGCCCTTATGGCACTTACGCTTATAGGAGAATGCCTTTCGGTTTATGTAATGCACCGGCCACTTTTCAAAGATGTATGATGCACATTTTCTCTGACATTATTGAAGAGAAAGTTGAGGTGTTCATGGATGACTTTAGTGTCTATGGCTCCTCCTTCTCGGATTGTCTCTCTAATTTGACACAGGTGTTGGAGAGATGTGAGCAACACAACTTGGTGCTGAAC